TCTCCTCGGCTTATACTCGAGTCAATGTTATTTACTATTTTACTGTTAACTATATTATTTTTATTGCATTTATTATTTTACTCTATTTATTGTTATTATAACATTTATTATTTTACTCTATTATTGTTATTACATTTATTATTTTACTCTATTTATTATTGTCATAACATTTATTATTTACTCTATTATTATTATTATTATTATTACATTTATTATTTTACTCTATTTATTATTGTTATTACATTTATTATTTTACTCTTTATTGTTATTATAACATTTATTATTTTACTCTATTTATTACTGTTATTATTACATATATCATTTTACTCTCCGAAGCTCTAGGTGCTCTTACTGCCTATTACAGGGAAAACCAACTGATCCCTAATCCATCTAAAACACAGACATGGGCCTTTCACCTTAATTGACAAGCATCCCAAGCTCTGAAGACCACCTGGGAAGGAATCCCACTGGAGCATTGCAGCGCACCCAAATACCTGAGAGTCACTTTGGATCGTGCTCTGACCTACAAGAAGCACTGCCTGAACATCAAGCAAAAAGTGGGTGCTAGAAACAATATCATACGAAAGCTGACTGGCACAACCTGGGGATCACAACCAGACACAGTGAAGACATCTGCCCTTGCGCTATGCTACTCTGCTGCTGAGTACGCATGCCCAGTGTGGAACACATCTCACCACACTAAAACAGTAGATGTGGCTCTTAATGAGACATGCCGCATTATCACAGGGTGTCTGCGCCCTACACCACTGGAGAAATTACACTGCTTAGCCGGTATTGCACCACCTGACATCCGCCGGGAAGTAGCAGTCAATAGTGAAAGGACCAAGGCAGAGACATCTCCAGCTCATCCCCTGTTTGGGTATCAGCCAACACGTCAACGACTTAAATCAAGACATAGTTTTCTTAGATCTACAGAGACACTCGCTGGAACACCTCAGCAAGCGAGAGTCCAAAAGTGGCAGGCCCAAACCCAGCACCTCAATCTGTGGGTGATACCAGATGAGAGACTCCCCCCTGGGCACACAGAAGACTGGGCGACTTGGAAGGCGCTGAACAGACTGCGCTCTGGCACCACGAGATGCAGAGCCAATCTTAAGAAATGGGGCTACAGGATGGAATCCACGGCATGCGAGTGTGGAGAAGAACAAACCACTAACCACCTGCTGCAATGCACCCTGAGCCCTGCTACATGCACAATGGAGGACCTTCTTGCGGCAACACCAGAGGCACTCCAAGTGGCCAGATACTAGTCAAAGGACATTTAATCAACTACCGAATTTGCGAAATCTGTGGGGTTTTTTAATCTGTTTGTTTTGTTTTGTTAGAAATGTAATACAATGGTATGGTTGCTGATTACATGATAAATAAATAAATTTTACTCTCTTATTACTGTTATTTCATTTCCATTATTTTACTCTATTATTATTTTTATTACATTTATTATTTTACTCCCTTTATTATTATTGGAAGACTATGTAAGCACATTTACACTGAAGAAGATTAGAATAATTATTTAATCAGAGTTGGACAGCTTTATCTTAAATTACAATTTTATGTAAATATTTTTGAATATTTACTCTACTGATGCCTCAATTAATGTAATTTTATTGGTTGCTATTTCCATTTTGCAACTTAGCAGTAGCTGCTGCATTTCTCGCCCTCGGCTTATACTTGAGTCAATGCATTTTCCCAGTTTTTTGTGGTAAAATTAGGTGCCTCGGCTTATATTTGGGTCGGCTTATTTATTTATTTATTTTTTATTTATTTGGTACACTTGTATACCGCTAATTTCTCAGCCTAGAACGGCGACTCAATTGCGGTTTACAGCATTTTAAAAACAATCTCAGTTTAAAAAACATATACAAATACAATAACAAATTATTGGGCCACCAATAATAATCCCGTAATTGTTTTAACTGATTCTATGATTAGGTTCTTGTGGGTTTTTTCGGGCTATAGAGCCATGTTCTAGAGGCCTTTCTCCTGACGTTTCCATGCCTCTAGAACATGGCTCTATAGCCCGAAAAAACCCACAAGAACCTAGTGATTCCAGCCATGAAAGCCTTCGACAATACAGATCCTATGATCTTATAGAACTTTAGCTACAGGACGAGATATCATCCACCTTTCTTCATCCTCTTTTTTTTATTATTACTCCCTAATATTTTGAATACTGCCACATTCTGTCTATGCACTAAAGCAAAACGTGGTTGGGCTTGTTTAGACAGCTGCAATACTTCCGCTTCCCTTTCGAGTACCGGGATCTTCATTTGCATAAAACACTAAGCATTAAGTCCTTTGCCAGAAGTCGTAATGAAAAGGTGTGCAAAGTCTTCTCTGGTCTAAAAGGGCAGCTCAACAGAAGGAGTTTTTACCTTGCTGCAGAAAGGTCCCCTCCTGGAGCTCCTTTGTTGAGATGTTTTGCTTCTGCGCTGCAGGGAAGCCATTTTTCTTCCGAATCCAAAGAGAAAAGGGTTATTTTGGGACTTGCTGCGAAGAAAATTTAGGGGAGGGAGGTCAGAAACTGACACAATTCAGTTTGACTCAGTTGGGTGACTTTCTGAGGTGCTGCACAATGAGCATTGTCAATCATCTATATAAATAAAAATGTAATGTTCGTTTGTGGGATTAACATAACTCAAAAACCACTGGGCGAATTGACACCAAATTTGGACACAATAGACCAATCAGGCTGAGTGACCATCACAATGAGAAGCACAGCGGAAGGGACTTAAAAGCCAAAAAAAATAAAATACATTACACGCATGTGCAAAACCACAAATATACACATATGCACATATATACACACAAAACACATATACACAGGCTGGGTCACAGCAACGCATGGCAGGGGACGGCTAGTCTATATAAATAAAAATGTAATGTTCATTTGTGGGATTAACATAACTCAAAAACCACTGGACGTATTGCCGCCAAATTTGGCCACAAGACACCTACTAACCCAAGGAGTGACCATCACTCAAAAAAAATGATTTTGTCATTTAGGAGTCGTAGTTGCTGGGATTAACCTACATACAAGCAAAGAACATTCTGAACTTCACCAATGATGGAACTGAACCAAACGTGGCATATAAGACTCCCATGACCAATAAAAAACACCAGATGGGGTTGGTGGGCATTGACCTTGAGTTTGGGAGTTGTAATTCACCTACATCCAGAGAGTTCTGTGTGTTTGAAGCCATTGTTCCGCGTCCTAGTCTCCAAGGAAGCAGAAAACAAGCTTGCTCCCTCCTCGCTATGACTTCCTCTAAAATATTTATATATGGCTATTGTGTCTCCTTTCAGCCTTCTCTTCTTCAGGCTAAACATGCCCAGCTCTTTAAGCCACTCCTCATAGGGCTTGTTCTCCAGACCCTTGATCATTTTGGTCGCCCTCCTCTGGACACATTCCAGCTTGTCAATATCTCTCTTGAATTGTGGTGCCCAGAATCGGACACAATATTCCAGATGTGGTCTAACCAAAGCAGAATAGAGGGGTAGCATGACTTCCTTAGATCTAGACACTATGCTCCTATTGATGCAGGCCAAAATCCCATTGGCTTTTTTGCCGCCACACATTGTTGGCTCATGTTTAACTTGTTGTCCACAAGGACTCCAAGATCTTTTTTCACACGTATAACTGTGGAGCCAGGTGTCTCCAATTCTGTATCTTTGCATTCCATTTTTTGTGCCTAAGTGGAGTATCGTGCATTTGTTGCTGTCAAACTTTGTTTTGTTGGTTTTGACCCATCTCTCTAATCTGTTAAGATCATTTTGAATTCAGCTCCTGTCTTCTGGAGTATTGGCTATCCCTCCCAATTTGAAGTCGTCTGCAAACTTGATGATCATGTCTTCTAATCCTTCATCTAAGTCATTAGCCCAGGACGGGGCCCAGGACGGAACCCTGCGGCACTCCACTCATCACTTCTTTCCAGGATGAAGAGGAAGCATTGGGGAGAATCACCTCTGGGTTCATCCATTTAACCAATTACAGATCCACCTCACCGTAGTTTTGCCTAGCCCACATTGGACTAGTTTCCTTGCCAGAAGGTCATGGGGGACCTTGTCGAAGGCCTTACTGAAATCCAGGTACGCTACATCCACGGCATTCCCCGCATCTACCCAGCTTGTAACTCTATCGAAAAAAGAGATCAGATTAGTCTGGCATGACTTGTTTTTGATAAATCCATGTTGACTATTAGCGATGACCGCATTTGTTTCTAAGTGTTTGCAGACCACTTCCTTAACAATCTTTTCCAGAATCTTGCCTGGTATCGACGTGAGGCTGACTGGACGGTAATTGTTTGGGTCATCCTTTTTTCCCTTCTTGAAGATTGGGACCACATTGGCCCTCCTCCAATCTGCTGGAACTTCTCCCAAGAACTCTCAAAGATGATTGCCAATGGTTCCGAAATGACTTCCGCTAGTTCCTTCAATACTCTTGGGTGTAGTTGATCTGGCCCTGGGGACTTGAACTCATTTAGAGCGCCCAGGTATTCCTGTACGACTTGTTTCCCAATTTGGGGTTGGATGTCCTCTAATTCCTCATCCACTCCATCTTGCTGAGGTTGAAGATGACTTTCTTTTTGTGAGAAGACCGAGGCAAAGAAGGTATTAAGTAGTTCTGCCTTTTCCCTATCTCCTGTCAGCATTGCCCCATCTTCTCCTCGAAGAGGCCTATCGCCTCCTTGTTTTTCCTTTTTCTACTGACATAAGAAAAGAATCCCTTTTTATTGTTTTTAATGTCCCTGGCAAGCCTGAGCTCGTTTTTTGCTTTAGCCTTGCGGACCTTTTCCATACAGGTGTTGGCTATTTGTTTGAATTCTTCTTTGGTGATTTCTCCCTTTTTCCACTTCTTGTGCATGTCTCTTTTGTGTCTTAGCACAGTTAGAAGTTATTTGGACATCCATTCTGATTTCTTTGCACTTGTCATATTTTTTCTCTTTGTTGGCACGGTTTGCAATTGCGCCTTGAGTATTTCACTCTTGAGTCCCAAAGACTGAACAGAACACAACAAAAGACAGATTGGTCAGGATTCAAAGACTTTATTTCAACAAGGAAAATGACATTAATAATAGACCTGTCCAGCATCTGAAATAAGCAAACAGGATGCTCCACCACCGGATATGTTAAAGGAAAACTGAATCTATAAAAATTAACACTCTTGGAAGATTTTGAAAAGTCCCATCACGACGTTATCTCCTGTTTTTTTTCTTTTCCTCTTTTTCTCTTTTTATTCCACTCTCTCTCTTTGATACACTTATGTTTTCACCCTCTTTTGCTGTAAATACTAAAATTGCACAATAAAAATTAATTTTAAAAAATCTGGTCAAGAAATTCAAGGAGAGAGTCACCATAAGATAATGTCCATTTTAAAGCACATAAAAACCTAACAACAGGCAGGAATCAGTCAGTCTTTGGAGCTGCAAGGCCATTCAATGCTAATCAAGGTGGCCAATTGCAGCATTCACACTTGCCTCAAGCAGACAGAAGTTATTTCTGCCACCCTGGACATTATTCCACAAATATATAAACCCCACTTGCCTAGTTTTCAACAGACCGCACAACCTCTGAGGATGCCTGCCATTGATGTGGGTGAAACGTCAGGAGAGAATGCTTCTGGAACATGGCCATACAGCCTGGAAATCTCACAGCAACCCAACAACGTCATTAATTGCTGCAATGTGTGTATTTATAATATTATAATGTAATACAATATAATACTAATAATAATGATATTATAATTATATATTTTATATTACACGTAATATTAATAATAATATTACAATATAATTGTATAGTAAAATATAACACTGATATTGTACTATGCTAATAATATGATATATTGTATGTATATATATCTTGTAAGCCACTCTGACTCCCCTTCGGGGTGAGAAGGGTGGCATATAAATATCGTAAATAAATAAATATTTTGGATTTTACTATAGCGTGCCCAAATTCACTGTACTAGATGGCAACACCTATCATCCCTTTCTAGTGTGGCAACTAAGTGCTTCAGTCAGACACTTATGAAGATCACTGGATTATTTCAGTAAGTTATGTGGCTCACTGAACCAACTACTTCCAACAGACCTCACTACCTCTGAGGATGCTTGCCAAAGATGCAGGCGAAACATCAGGAGAAAATGCCTCTAGAACATGGCCATATAGCCCGGAAAAACCTACAACAACCCAACAATCACCATAAACAGCTTGCATTCTCTGAAGAATCTCCTTTGGGGTGACACTGTTTGCTACACAATATCCCAGAGTACTTGTAAGGTATCAGCACAAACACAAAACAATCTATGCGTAATGTCAAAGTGTATTATCAAAAGAGCATATAATATTCCATTTAGCAAAATCCCCAGTACATAGCTCAATTCAGTGGTACACAGAAATCAAAAGGAGCAGCCGCTTCAGTTTACATATAGCCTCATGACTCAGTGCTTACTTTGTTTAAATGACTTTTCTTATTATATGTATCCCTGAAGCCTATATACAGTGGAATCCTTATCCAGACCTAAAACTGTTACGTTTGAGAGCGGCTGCTCCTTTTGATTTTCTGTGTACCACTGAACTGAGCTATGTACTGGGGATTTTGGTAAATGGAATACTATATGCTCTTTGATAATACACTTTGACATTACGCATAGATTGTTTTGTGTTTGTGCTGGTGACACTGTTTGCTGTCAAGAATTCAATGATTGCACGTTGCTTAAGTTGCATTGACCGAACGTCTGCACAGGTTTCCATACTTCGCACTTTAACAACACAACCGTTCAATGCTAAGGCTTCCCACAAAAATGAAACTGTAGAGGAGAGTCTACTGAACAAGGCAGTACTGCCATCTGTTGAGGAGTTACGAAGGTGGAGGCATTACTTTTCATTCAACCCTCGTATTTACAAAATCCACAATGAATGTGAACCCTGCATATAAGGGACTACTTTCCCAACTCCAGGGCCGAAGATGGAAACTGGGATATTATGTGTGAAAATCTAATTCACTCTCCAGTCAGCTCTGGAGTCAAACGCACAGGGCTGCTGAATCAGCAACGGCTTGTCACGGATGTTGATAGCGATAATAAGATTTTCAAACAGCAGCGCCACAGGGTGAAGAAGCTATGCCTGCCAAAACACAGGAGAGCGGGGTGCTTTGCTTTCCCCCAGCCCAGCTTCTCAAAGTGCTTCAAATAGACCTTGTCTGATAAATGCCCATGCGGGGAGAATTTTAAATGGGCTCTGTCCCCTTCCAAAGCTTCAAAACCTCCGCTAAGGAGAACTCCGCTCCCCCAGGCCTCCGATTTGGAAGATTATCACTGAATAAACATGACGAGCTGAAATACTAATGTGAACTTCAACATGCAGCCATAATGAGAGTGAGAGGGAGGCCAAACCAGATGTGACATTGAGACATCCGCAGGAAGGTCTGGCTGAAGCAAAGGTGCTGCTGGTTTTGTAATAGAGGTCAGAGAAGTGGTCTGAGTGGCAGCCCAACAAATGTCGACAGGCAGCGTCTGGGCAGAAAACGCTGTGGCAGCTGCTTCTCTCACAAAGCCGCTTTGGGAGTTCCATAGACAAAGAAAGGTCCTCGAAGACAAGTCAATTGAAGTGATACAGGTCTTGCTCCCCATTTACCGTCTTGAAAAATCTTTGGGGGTTTTAAAGCTCTGCTGCAGTCTTTAAAACCAAGAGCTTAATGCTATTTTTGCAGGAACTTGATAGAGCTAAATGGAATTATTTTCCGTAAGGGAAACACAAACCTCTCAATTGGTTTTCTAAACTTGTTTTTACGTCCTGTCAAATCAACTCCAATTTATTTATTTGCGACATTTATGTGCCGCCCTTCTCATCCCTATGGGGACTCAGAGCGGCTTACAAGATATATATACATACAATATATTATATTATTAGCAAGGTACAATATCAGTATTATATATTACTACTAGCCGTCCCCTGCCACATGTTGCTGTGGCCCACTTGGGGGTTTTGTGTGCGAAGTTTGGCCCAATTCTATCATTGGTGGGGTTCAGAATGCTCTGTGATTGTAGGTGAACTATAAATCCCAGCAACTACAACTCCCAAATGTCAATATTCTATGTTTCCCAAACTCCATCAATGTTCACATTTGGGCATATTGAGTATTCATGTAGAGTTTGGTCCAGATCCATCATTGTTTGAGTCCACAGTGCTCTCTGGATGTAGGTGAACTACAACTCCAAAACCAAAGGACACTGCCCACCAAACCCTTCCAGTATTTTCTATTGGTCATGGGAGAACTGCGTGCCAAGTTTGGTTCAATTCCATCGTTGGTGGGGTCCAGAATGTTCTTTGATTATAGATGAAATATAAATCCCAGCAACTACAATTCCCAAATGACAAAATCAATTTTTTTGAGTGAAGGACATACATTGTGTTGTTAGGTGTCTTGTGTCCAAATTTGGTGTCAATTCCCCCAGTGGTTTTTGAGTTCTGTTAATCCCACAAACGAACATTACATTTTTATTTATATAGATATTGCACTATACCATTACATTGCAATATTATTAGTAGTATTACATGTAATATAAAATATATAATTATAATATCATATGATTATTATTAGTATTATATTGTATTATATTATAATATTATACATATTATATGTATACATGCAGTCATACCGGACACATGACCTTGGAGATGTCTACGGACAACGCCGGCTCTTCGGCTTAGAAATAGAAATGAGCACCAACCTCCAGAGTCAGACACGACTGGACTTGATGTCAGGGGAAAACCTTTACCTTACAATCTATAAATAAAAATGTAATGTTCGTTTGTGGGATTAACAGAACTCAAAAACCACTGGGGGAATTGACACCAAATTTGGACATGATACAACTAACAACCCAATATATGTCCTTCACTCAAAAAACCCAACGAAAACAAAAAGCAGAAAGGACTTCTAAACTGCATGTCCACAAAGGAAAAACTGCATACCCAGAAAGAGACCCATGGCCATGCCCCCTCCTCCTCGTGGGGAAACAGCCAGCCATTAAAGCATGAGGAGCCAGGCCTGTGAGCATGGCCACACACACACACACACACAAGCGAGAGTGGGCACCATGGGAGTGGAGGTGGAGGCTTGCCGCATGGAGCCCCTTCTCTTTCCCTGCTATGTCAGGAGGGTGGTCTCCTCCTCCTCCTTTCCCTGTTGGAAGAGGAAGGGGCGGATGAGTGGCAGCGGCAGCAGCGGAGCCCCCAGGCAAGGAAGAAGAGGAGGAGGTGAGGAAGGTCGATGGTGCTTGAGTGAAGGACCTTCCTTCTCTCCCTCACTCCCTTCCCTTCTTTCCTCCCTCTCCTTCCTCCCTTTCTTTCCTTTTCTTCCTTCCTTCCTTCTCCTTCCTTTCCTTTCCTTTTCTTCTTTTTCCTTCCTCCCTCCTTCCTTTCCTCCTTCTTTCCTTTCTTCATTTCCTTCCCTCCCTCCTTTCTTCATCCTCCTCCTTCCTTCCTCCCTCCTCCCTCCCTCCTTTCCTTCCCTTCTTCCTTTCCCTTCCCTTCTTCCTCCCTCCCTCCCTTCCTTTTTCCTTCCTTCCTGTCCTTCCTGCCTTCCTTTTTCCTTTCCTTCTTTCTATGTAAGATATAAATACAATATTACATGGAAGGGACAGTCAAGAAGTAATGAGAGAAGGAGGGAAAGAGGGAAAGAAGGAGACAAGGAGGGAGGGAAAGAAAGAAGGAAGGAAGGAAGGAAAAAGGTAGAGAAGCAAGGAAGGAGAGAAGGAAATAAAAAAGTGAAAGGAAAAAGAGAGGGAAGGAAGGAGAGAAGGAACGAAAGATAGGGAAGGAAGGAAGGAGAGAAGGAAGGATGTAACCAAAGAGCAAAGAAAGGGAGGAAAGAAACAGGTAGAGATGGAAGAAAGAAGAGAAATAGGGAAAGAAAAAGAGGAAAGGAAGGAAAGAGGGAAGGAAGGAGAGAAAGAGGGAGGGAAGGTTGGCCACAGCAACGCGTGGCGGGTACAGCTAGTTATATTATATTATATTATATTATATTATATTATATTATATTATATTATTAGCATAGCACAGGAGACAACTGTCTTCTGTCCCCCTCTCTCTTCACTCTGGCCTTCTGCTTGTTTTTCTTTCTTTTTTTGTGCCAGATTTATTTAGACAAGATTTGCCACTGCCTTCCTTCCTACAAGACTGAGAAACGTGACTCGCCCAAGCTTGCTTGACTGAGCTATAGCTTTTCGAACCATGGTTTACCAGAACCCTATTTCAATATTCAAGCTCCTACATCCCATCGAGTCCAATTTCTATCTATATAAATAAAAATGTAATGTTCATTTGTGGGATGAACATAACTCAAAAACAACTGAGTGAATTAACACCAAATTTGGACACGAAACCCCTAACAGACTGAGTGACCATCACTCATAAAAAAAAACCCAAAAAAGCAGAGGAAAGGACTTAAAAACACAAAAAAGCCAAATGACAACACAGCGCATGCGCGAAAACGATTCCCTTCCTGCGCAAGGGAAAAGAAAACAAACAGCCACCCCAGCTCTCCTTTGTCCGTTCCTTTGCTACTGTCACATCGGAAGGTTGCGGCCCTCGATGACAGTGGCAGTTGGGAGGAGTCACAAGGAGATCTGAGGGCAATATGAGGGCACTAACTGTGGAGCCCTTGTTCTGCAGAGAGCAAGGACGCACCTCTCTCAAGCACTGCCTATGAGCCCAACTCTTTTCTGGCCTATGTTTAGAGGGAAGGAATTTATTTATCGTGTCTTCAGCAACCATACCATTGTATTACATTTCTAACAGAACAAAACAAACAAACAGATTAAAAAAAACCCACAGATTTTGCAAACTTGGTAGTTGATTAAATGTCCTTTGACCAGTATCTGGGAAGGAATGAAGGAGGGGAAGGGGGAAGGAGGGAGGGAGATAAAGAGGGAAAGAAGGAAGGGGGAAGGAAAAGAGGGAAGAAAGGAAGCAGAGAAGGAAGGGAGGAAAGGAGGGAGGAAAGAAAGGTAGAGAAGGAAGGAGAAGGAGAGAAGGAAAGAAAAAAGAGAAAGGAGAAAAAGAGAGATGGAAGGAGAGCAAAGAAGGAGTGAAAGAGGGAGGGAAGATAGGAAAGAGAGAAGGAAGGATAGAACCAAAAGAGCAAAGGAAGGGAGGAAAGAAAGAGGTAGAGAAGGAAGAAAAAAAAGGAGGGAAAGAGGGAAGGAAGGAAGGAAAGAGAGGAGGAAGGATGGAACCAAAGAGCAAAAGAAGGAAGGAAAGAAGTGGTAGAGAAGGAAAAAAAGGAGAGAAAGAGGGAGGGAAAGAAAACGGAGAAAGGAAAGAAAGAGAGGAGTACTCTTTTTTTATTTTTCTCTTTTTTTAGCTTTGTTTTGTTTTTGTGGTTTTTTTTTTTTTTTTTTTTTTTTTTTTTTTTCTTTCTTTCTTTCTTTCTTTTTCTTTTTTTTTTTGTGTGTCTTTTTTACTTTTTTTTTTAAAGTATTTTGTGGTTTTTGAACAAGGAAAGATGGAACCAAAGGAAAGGAAGGAGGAAGGGAAGATAGAAGGAAAAAGGAAAGAAAGAGGGAGGGAAAGAAAGAGAAAGGAAAGAGATGAAGGATGGAACCAAAGAGCAAAGGAAGGAGGAGAAAGAGGAGAGAAGAAAAAAGGAAGAAAGAGGAAAGAAAGGAGGAAGAAGGAAGGAGAGGAGGAAGGATGGAAGCAAAGAGCAAGGAAGGAAGGAAGGAAAGAGGTAGAGAAGGAAGGGAGAGAAAGAGGGAAAGAAAAAGGAGGAGGAAGGAAGGAAGGAGAAGGAAGGAAGGAGAGAAAGAAGAAGGAAGAAGGAAAGAGGGAGGAAGGAAAGAGGGAAGGAAGGAAGGAGAGAGGAGGAGGAGGAAGAAAAAGAGGAAGGAAGGAAGGAAGGAAAGAGGAAGAAGGAAGGGAAAGAAGGAAGGAAAGAAAAGGAAGGAAGGAAGGAAGGAAGGAAGGAAGGAAGGAAGGAAGGAAAGAGGAGGAAGGAAAAGAGAGGAGGAAGGAAAGAGAGGAGGAAGGATGGAACAAAGAGAAAAGGAGGAAGGAAAGAAGAGGAAGAAAAGGAAAAAGAGAGAAAGAGGGAGGGGAAAGAAAAAGAAGGAAGGAAGGAAGGAAGGAAAAGAGGGGAAGGAAGGAAAGAAGAGGGAGGAAGGAAAGAAGAGGGAAGAAGGAAAAAAAGGAGAGAAAGAGGGAGGGAAAGAAAAGAAGGAAGGAAGGAAGGAAGGAAGGAGGAAGGAAGGAAGGAAGGAGGGGGGAAGGAGGGAGGAGGGAGGAGGGGGAGGGAGGGAGGGAGGGAGGGGAGGAAGGAAGGAGAGAGGAAGGATGGAACCAAGAGCAAAGGAAGGAAAGAAAGAAGTAGAGAAGGTAAAAAAGGAGAGAAAGAGGGAAGGAAAGAAAAAGGAGGAAGGAAGGAAAGAGGTAGATAAGGAAAAAAGGAGAGAAAGAGGGAAAGAAAAAGGAGGGAGGAAGGAAAGAAGGAGGGAAGGAAGGAGAGAAAGAATGAAGGAGAGGAAGAGGGAGGGAAGGTTAGCCACAGCAATGTGTGGTGGGTACAGCTACTTATGAATAAAAGCTTAACTTTAGAGCTAATGCATCTATACAACCAAACGGAAGTTCCTAGATATTAAATCTTAGATCATACGAGGAAGGAGATATGCCTCTCTCATCAACATTGCACAGGCTTTCTGGGAAAGTTCACAGATTCATAAAAATTAAGACCTGTCCTCAGTGATTGATGGGTCAGCCTGGACTTCGAAGGGGCCTGCATCTGCTTATAGAAATTCAGGGATCTTTGGAAAGCATTTAATTAGGAAATAAACATCAGGCAGGTTGGACAGATATACTTAATTAAAAAAGTGAGCTTGCCTTGCCCTGTAGTTATGGGATGGTCTTTCTCCAGACAGATTTCTTGGGAGACTTCCAAGTCATCTGGCCCACACACTATATAGGTTACTTCCAGATCTTCTTCAATAATCGAACTCTGAAGGGATGATACAAAACAAAACAAAAATATTGAAGGGAAATTTAAAAGAGGGGTCGGCAGACATAAAACTGTGGATTAAGGAATGAACAAATGGCTGGGAGTCAGCTGCATTAAGATGACTACTGACCGAAGGTCATGAGTTCGAAGCCAGCCCGGGTCAGAGTGAGCTTCTGGCCCATTTGTGCAGCTTGTTGTCGACCTTAGCAGCCCGAAAGACAGCTGCATCTGTCAAGTAGGAAAATTAGGTACCACTTATGTGGGGGTGCCAATTTAACTAGTTTATGAGGCCATAAAAATCTCCAGCAAGCATGCGGGGAATGAGGAAGTACTCCATCAGTGTCACAGGTGGATGGTGAAGCAACAGCTCCCCTGGTGGCCAGAAAAAGTTGAAATGTTAAATACCCTCTGACTCTCTTGTCTATATGTGTTGTGTGGCATTGAATGTTTGCCTGTATATTTACACTAGCTGTCCTCTGCCACGCGTTGCTGTGGCCCAGTCTGGTGATCTGGCAAATAACGCAATGAGAAAGTGTTGGTTTCAAAAATATGTAATGTCTTTCTGCTTGTGGGTAAACAGTATTTCTTGCTGTTTCTTTGTCAGTGTTGATGTGGAGAGTGTCTGGTTTGCCCATATCATTGTCCTTCTTTAAGGGTCCATTTCAAATATATGATACTATATCTCTGTCTGTGTGAATCATATCTATCTATCTCTATCTCTATCTCTATCTATCTATCTATCTATCTATCTATCTATCTATCTATGTATTTCTATCTATGTATTTCTATCTGTCTATCTATCTATCTATCTATCTATCTATCTATCTATCTATCTATCTATCTATCTATCTATGGCTGGATGGCTCTTTGTCAGGAGGACTTTGATTACGTTTTCTTGCCCTGATGAAGGGAGTTGGATTGGATGGCCTTGAGTATTTTCTGTTGGTCATGGGGGTTCTGTGTGGGAAGTTTGCCCCGATTCTGTCGTTTGTGGGGTTCAGAATGCTCTTTGATTGTAGGTGAACTGTGAATCCCAGTGACTACAACTCCCAAATGTCAAGGTCTATTTCCCCCCAAACTCCATCTGTGTTCATATTTGGGCGTATTGAGTGCTTGTGCCAAGTTTGGTGCAGATCCATCCTTGTTTGAGTCCACAGTGCTCTCTGGATGTAGGTGAACTACAACTCCCAAACTCGAGGTCATTGCTCACCAAACCTTTCCAGTATTTTCTGTTGGTCATGGGAGTTCTGTGTGCCAAGTTTGGTTCAATTCCATCGTTGGTGGAGTTCAGAATGCTCTTTGATTGTAGGTGAACTATAAATCCCAGCAACTACAACTCCCAAATGACAAAATCATAAATTTTTGAGTGATGGTCACTCCTTGTGTTGTGAGACATTTTGTTGCCAAATTTGGTGTGATTTCGTTCATTGGTTCTTTTGTTTTTAAGGTACTCATTATGCACAGAGCATTTATATATATATATATGTGTGTGCTAAGTTCCCTGCGGGGTGAGAAGGGCGGAATATAAATACTGTAAATAAATACTAATAAATAATAAATAAATAAAGTTAAAACCTGGAAGACGCCAAGTGGCAAGCTTCTGGTCAAAGGGAATTTAGTACAATGCCAAGCTTTTAACTTTTTTGTGGGTTTTTTAATACATTTTAACTGTATTCTCAATTCACTCCTGACACAATAAATAAATTTCAATACAGATTTTCCGGGCCCAATCTTTCAGAAGTTTGTTCACATTATTTATTTATTTGTTTATTTGCCATATTTATATACCGCCTTTATCAGACAGAAGGCAATTCAGCACAATTCGATGCCCCCAACAACATAAAATACAATTAAAAACTTCAGTATATAAAATATAGATTCAGATAAAATCAATAAAAACATAAATCCTCATCCCTAAATGCTAAACCATGCTGACTGTAGCTAATGGGAGTTGCAGTCCAATATCTCGAGGCCACATTTCCCACTGGCTGGTTCAGTAGGATATGCTGTAGACTGCACCAAGAATTATTTGCATGCAAAGGTTGTGCCACTAAGTTCCAATGATGAATTCCATCCATACACAATTGGCACACAATGGGATATTCCCAGTTCCCTTGATTCCAGGCAAATTCGCACGGTGCCTTCCTTCTGCTTTCCTTCTTTCTGCTTACCTCAAATTCTGAATTCTCGTGAGGAGCTAAAGAGGTGACAAGATCCTCGTCAGCAGTTAGAAACTCCTCCGATACATCCACAGAGGAAGATGGGGAATCAATTCGACCCTCTAGCCGGCCCTGTAAGAGAAACATGTGAGAGTCAGAACTGGACTCATTCACAGCAGGCCATTTTAGTCAAAATATGAAGATTGAATGAAAAGTAAGTCTGACTTGGCCACGGTAGTCCACGCTCTGGTTACATCCCGTTTAGACTACTGCAACGCTCTCTACGTGGGGTTGCCTTTGAAGACGGCTCGGAAGCTCCAACTAGTCCAACGCTCGGCAGCCATGATACTAACAGGAGCGGAGCGCAGGGAGCATACAACTCCTCTGCTGCACCAGCTCCACTGGCTGCCGATCTGCTACCGGGCTCAATTCAAAGTGCTGGTGTTGGCCTTTAAAGCCCTAAACGGTTCTGGCCCAACTTACCTATCCGAACGTATCTCGGCCTATCAGCCCACCAGGACCCTAAGATCTTCTGGGGAGGCCCTGCTCTCGATCCCGCCTGCATCACAGGCACGGCTGGCAGGGACGAGGGACAGGGCCTTTTCTGTGGTGGCCCCTCGGCTGTGGAACGCCCTTCCCATGGACATTAGATCAGCCCCTTCGTTAATGGTGTTTCGAAGAAAACTAAAAACCTGGCTGTTCGAACAGGCGTTCGGTTAAACAATGCAATGTACATGATGATCACAGGAATGGAAATATGGACGACGAATTGGATCACGACTCTAGTGATGAGATGTATTGGGTTCTTACTGTTGTGTTAATATTTGTATACTATGTTCTTATGGTTTTAAATTGTATATCGTTGATTGACTGTTTACCCTTGTTGTAAACCGCGTTGAGTCGCCTGTTGGACTGAGAAACTGCGGTATACAAGTAAAGTAAATAAATAAATAAGTAAGTAATGCCTCCACCTTCGTTACTTGGATTTCGATGGGAATATTTTAATAAATCAAACACAGAAATAATCCTTAGAATGTGCTCTTTAACTGCCACTATTCCCTTTCCCACATAATCACCAGACAATTGGATACATTTCTGCCAACAATGAACACGTTTTCTGAAGCTGTCACGGAAGCTAAGAGAATGCAAGAGGTCAGCCAGAGACATCAGTTACTTTGAAGAGTTCTTCTGATCCTGCTTAAGAGCTTCCCTCAAGGTTTTCCTTATCAAAGCCTGATAGGGAATCAAGTATTGGTCTTTATGGGTTTCTCTCTCTGTCTATGTCTTAATTGTCAGCTGCAGCCTAAAGTGTTGTGTCCCGGGGAAGTGAGGAAAGAGCAAGGAAGCTGAAAAAGACACCTGGATTCCACCTATTTATTCCGAGTAACCAGCCGCCCTGAATCACAACTGTGCATTACATCTGCACAGCTTGAGATCTGTCAAATGAACCCCAGCCTACCAACCCTTCCATGACAGCTAAGCAGGATGTCAACCATTACTGTCCTGTTGACCAGGCAAAAACAGAACTCCTTGTAATTAATAATGATGTGTGGCAGGCAGAGGCTGGGATTGAGGTGATGTGAACTAATAAGGGTTGCCTATGTTCTGGCCTCAACAACTGCTAGAATTGCAGGAGAAGACCTCCGCAAGATTGGTCAGCAATTTTAATCGCCTTTGGATTGGGAAGACCAAGAATTCGGAAGTATCTCTTTTCCTAAGTCACTTTTCAAACTATAATGTAATGTAATGTAATATATTGTATATACATATATCTATATAAATAAAAATGTAATGTTCGTTTGTGATACCATCAGAACTCAAAAACCACTGGGGGAATTGACACCAAATTTGGACACAAGACACCTAACAACCCAATGTATGTCCTCCACTCAAAAAAAATGATTTTGTCATTTGGGAATTGTCGTTGCTGGGATTTATAGTTTACCTACAATCAAAGAGCATTCTGAACTCCACCAATGATGGAATTGGGCCAAACTTAGCACACAGGGCTCCCATGACCAACAGAAAAAACTGGAAGGGTTTGGTGGACATTGACCTTGAGTTTGGAAATTGTAGTTCACCCACATTCAGAGAGCACTGTGGACTCAAACAAGGATGGATCTGCACCAAACTTGGCACAAGCACTCAATACACCTAAATATGAACACAGATGGAGTTTGGGGGGAAATAGATCTTGACATTTGGTAGTTGTAGTCACTGGGATTCACAGTTCACCTACAATCAAAGAGCATTCTGAACCCCACGAACGACACTGTGGACTCAAACAATGATGGGTCTGGACCAAACTTGGCACGAATATTCCATATGCCCAAATATGAACACAGATGGAGTTTAAGGGAATTAGACCTTGACATTTGGGAGTTGTAGTTGCTGGGATTTATAGTTCACCTACAATCAAAGAGCATTCTGAACTCCACCAATGATGGAATTGAACCAAACATGGCATACAGGACTTCCATGACCAACAGAACACACTGGAATGGTTTGGTGGGCACTGACCTTGAGTTTGGGATTGTAGTTCACCTACATCCAGAGAGCACTGTGGACTCAAACAATGATGGATCTGGACCAAACAAAAATTCCATATGCCTAAATATGAACACAGATGGAGTTTGGAGGAAATAGACCTTGACATTTGGGATTTGTAGTTACTGGGATTTATAGTTCACTACAATTCTGAAACCCACAACCGACAGAAATGGGGGCAAACTTCCCACACAGAACCCCCATGACCAACAGAAAATACTTAAAGCCATCCAGTCCAACTTTCTTAGAGCCATCCAGTCATAAATATAGATAGATAGATATGATTCTCTCTCACACACACAGATATAGTATCATAGATTTGAAAGAGACCCTTAAAGAAGACTATGATATGTTGCATATTCCAGAGTAGGCAAACCAGACACTCTCCACATCAACACTGACAAAGAAACAACAAGAAATACTGTTTACAAGCATAAAGGAATTACATAGATTAGAATCCAACACTTTCTCATTACTTTATTTTCCAGATTACCAGACTGGGCCACAGCAACACGTGGCAGGGGACAGCTAGTAATATTTATAATATTATAATGTAATACAATATAATAATAATATATTATTATATATTTTATATTACATGTAATATTACTCATAATATCACAATATAATGGTATAGCACAATATAGTAATATATAATACTGATATTGTACTATGCTAATAATATAATATATTGTATGTATATATATCTTGTAAGCCGCTCTGAGTCCCCTTCGGGGTGAGAAGGGCGGCATATAAATGTTGTAAATAAATAAATAACTCATTTAATCAATGGCGATTGGGGGATTTGGGGGACTGGGGGATTTTAGTGTTTCCAACCTCTATCAAGACCTGGATCGGAAATAAGTATTTGGAGTCTGCTTCACTGTTCCGGGCTGGTCAACATATCAGGATGACCTAGCTGTGAAAATAACCTCAACAAACATTTGTGGTTTAGATTTGGCTATGGTTAACTCAGAGTCCTTTCCTGCCTCCAGTACATAGGCTGAACAGAACCTCTTTTGTTTCCTGCTTTGGGTCTCAGAATTGTAGAGGTGAGAAGGAAAAGAATGCCATCCACTCCTTGGGTCATAATGCTAACTCTGAATTATCTCGATCTCTTCAGCAAGAAGTGGTGACATCTCCAACTTCCCCCAATAGACAGAAGATTATAAATTGCCCTTCTCATGAAGTCTTCTTCATGAAGTCTGACTTGGCCAGGGTGGTCCACGCCTTGGTTACATCCAGACTGGACTATTGCAATACGCTCTACATGGGGCTGCCCTTGAAGATGGCCCAGAAGTTTCAATTAGTACAGGCTCCTTATTGGGGCAAACTATAGGGAGCATACAACAGCCCTAATAAAACAGCTTCATTGGCTGCTGATAAGTTTACGAGCCAAATTCAAGGTGCAGATTATGACCTATAAAGCCCCAAACGGTTCGGGCCCTGCCTATCTCCGCGATCGCATCTCCTTCTATGAACGGGTGCGAACTCTACAATCTTCCGGGGAGGCCCTCCTTTCGCTCCTACCACCGTCACAAGTATGGTTGGTGGGGACAAGAGAGAGGGCCTTCTCGGTCGTGGCCCCCCGCCTCTGGAACACCCTTCCAAGGGAAATAAGACAGGCCCCATCCCTTCCCTCCTTTCGTAAGAGCTTGAAGACCTGGTGGTTTCAACAAGCTTTGAGAGAGACCAGTTCTAGCCCAGCCGCAATATGACAATATGGCTAGCACCCAAGAATTCAATGACTCCTAAGTATCTGGAAAACCAGAGTGTGGGACTCCCTGACATAGAGAATCCAGAAAGACTTTTTTGTATGTTGCTCTGAACCCACAACTTTCTAAATCACAACATGATAAGCTATGTCACGCCCACTCTATACTTGTTTTGTTTTTCAATAAAACTGAAACAGTAGAGGAACTTAAAGTTTTCTTCCATGCCAAGGGAAGAGAAAGTGGAACAAGATTATCAAGTCATCGCAACTCATGTTTATCCTTCAGGTGGTTTATTGCCCTATAGATTTTAATTAGGAACTTTTTCTTGTAAACCTTCAGCCACTGAACTGTTCTTATGATCTAATAAATCTTGAAGACGTGTGGTAAAAAGACGGGAGGGAATTGATGCCTCACATTTCCAAGTGTTCTATACAAGGAGGCACAGGAGTTCAAAGTTTAATACGAAACAGAGAGAGAGACTTTATGAATCATTAGGTAAAGGTAAAAGTTTCCCCTTGACATTAAGTCTAGCCATGTTTGGCGGGTGGTGCTCATCTCCATTTCTAAGCTGAAGAGCTGATGTTCTGCATGGACACCTCCAATGTTATGTGGCCGGCATGACTGCAAGGAGCACCATTACCTTCCCGCTGAAGTGGTACCTACTGATCTACTCATATTTGCATGTTTTCGAACTGTTAGGTTGGCAGAAGCTAACACCAGGAGCTCACCCCTTCTCGCAGATTCAAACCGCCAACCTTCCGATTATCAAGTTCTGCCACTTAGTGGTTTAACCCACTGTGCCGCCACGACATCTTATGAATCGATACAATCAAGTTTATATAGCACCCAGGTTCGGCTAAAGTGTAGACCAGTGACTACACGCTGTTTACAAAGGCCATTGTGGAGCCATCTAGGCCTCCAGATTTCCCAGAATTTAAGCAGTTCTTTAAGCCGCTTCTTATAGGGCTTGTTCTCCAGACCCTTGATCATTTTAATCGCCCTCCTCTGGACACATTCCAGCTTATCAACATCTCTCTTCAATTGTGGTGCCCACAATTGGACACAGTATTCCACGTGTGGTCTGACCAAGGCAGAATAGAGCATGGGTAGCATGACTTTCCTGGATCTAGCCATTATACTCCTATTTATTGCATTTTATGCTTGATTTATTTTATTGCAATATTGGTCTAGGTTTTTTATGTTACTGTATTGCAATTTGCAGTACTGAATTCTGTCAACAGCGAGAGTACGCTCGGAATGCTGGCCTAGCAAGGGAAAACAGGCATGCTAGCAAGAGAGAGAGCAGCCTCGGGGGGAAAAAAGGCGTGGCTTCGGAGCGAGCGCAAGCGCAAGCTCACTCCCGCTTTCCTGTAGTTTGCGGCGGCTCTAAGGTTGGCTGTTCGCCTTTCAAACAGGTAACAGGTTACCCGCACATAGAATCATAGAGTTGGAAGAGACCTCATGGGCCATCCAGTCCAACCCCGTTCTGTCACCTCCTCGCGAGGGAATTTGCGGCTTGGTCTTTTTCTTCTTTTTTATTTTGAGTGCTTATTGAGCGTGCTGGTGGTTGGTTTTTCTTGTTTACTTTTGCAAGAGGCGCTCCGACAGTTTCTTTTTGCGTTATTTCTGTAGATGGGAGAGGGCTTGCTCGTAGAGAGCAGCTTTTAGCCTCAACTCTCTATTCTTTTTGGTTTGCGGTGTGAACGCCTTGCAAATGTCGCATGCTTGGGAGAGGTGTTCCTTTCCCAGGCATATTAAGCAATTAAGGTGAGTATCATTATCTGGGATCTTATTTGGGCATGATACACACTTTTTGAAGGAAGTGGTCATTTCTTCTTTTAATTTAATATTATTCTTAGCTTATTTATGTAGTCTCTATCTCCGTTGCTGCTTATAGCACTGGATTAAAAGAACTGGGCAATAGCCCCGAGGCTGGGCTATTTATATGGTCGGGGAGAGTGGGCGGGGCTTCTCTAACAGTCAAAAACAGTCTCGTGAGTGTCCATTGTTGCCTGCGCGAGCGCACGAATACACCAAATGTGTAATTCACAGGCTGACCACGCAAAGAAATTGCATTCAAAGCATCCCCAACAGATGGCCATCCAGCCTCTGTTTCAAAGCTTCCAAAGAAGGAGCCTCCACCACACTCCGGGGCAGGGAGTTCCACTGCTGAACAGCTCTCACAGTCAGGAAGTTCTTCCTCATGTTCAGATGGAATCGCCTTTCTTGTAGTTTGAAGCCATTGCTCCACTGCGTCCTAGTCTCCAGGGCAGCAGAAAACAAGCTTGCTCCCTCCTCCCAATGACTTCCTCTCATGTATCTATACGTGGCTATCATGTCTCCTCTCAGCCTTCTCTTCTTCAGGCTAAACATGCCCAACACTTTAAGCCGCTCCTCATAGGGCTTGTTCTCCAGACCCTTGATCATCGATTTCAAAACTGCAAGTGGACTTTTCCACTTTTCATCTCAGCTTCATTTCCCCATATTTCGGCAGCCTACATGTGCATAATAATAATAATAATAATAACAACACTTTATTTGTACCCCGCTACCATCTACCAAGGGACTCGGTGCAGTTTACATGAGGCCGAGCCCACAATACAACAATAAACAATAACAACAATAATACAAAAACAATACATAAAATCATAAGCAAAATAAGCAAAAACAATAACACGACACATTTAAAAACCTACGGCTGGGCCAACTGTAATAATTAAGATTTTTAAAAAATATAATGCTGGGCATGAGCAGGTAACATGTAATTGGGATAGAGGTTTTGGAGAGGTAAAAAATGTGCAGACAATCTAAAGTCATTATTAAAGTGCATTTAAGGACATGTTGCTGGGAGTTTCCTTATTCTGGGAAGGCACACTGCAACAGCCACGTTTTCAGGCTCCTCCTAAAGTCTGCTAGAGTTGGGGCTTGCCTAATATCCCTGGGGAGTGAGTTCCAGAGTCGAGGGGCCACCACCGAGAAGGCTCTCTCCCTCGTCCCCACCAATCGCGCTTGCGATGGTGGCGGGAGCGTGAGCAGGGCCTTTTCAGATGATCGAAGAGATCGTGTGGGTTCGTACACAGAGATGTGGTCACGCAGGTTCAGATGCATGCGCATCTGAACATGAATAGTATCATAACAATTTCAGGTGGAAGAAATGGTGCTTGTTGGTTGCAGAAGGGGGAAATCCTTAAGCATCTCAACAATTAAAAATCCTGAACTAATATTAAGTGGCTGGCAAGCTGTAACCCACAAAACATTATACATAACAAGATTTGCTAGCCTTTAAGGTGCAACAAGATTCGGTGAACTGGAACGACTTAATTAAGGGAGCGAGCAGGCAAACAAAAGAAACCTAAATCGAACTGCATACCTTGCAAAGGTCCTCCGCAGTGACAGAAAGGGCTGCATTCTTGCGCAAGGTTACGCCACATGTCATTAGGTCTTTCTTTGTTGGAAATTGGCTGCTTTTGCCTAATAATAAATTATACCATATAAAACAGAACAACAAGAAGAGGGAAAGAGGGGGAGGCAGGCATTAGTATGCAAAGAAGAACACAATTTCTAAAAGGCTTGGCCACCTGACAGAAAATCAAAATGAGTAAGGCAGCGGAACCTACACAGCCTTGAAAATAATGGCTACTAAAAGCCCAATTCATAAAAGCCAGGGAGATCCGTCTTTTCAGAAATTTGAAAGAAACAATTTCGCTGTAAAGGTTCCAAATTATTCACTTTTTTTGACGTTCTCATTTGCCAGGTACTTATAACCAAACAAGTAACTGCGAAGAGCAAATACTTGGCACCCAAACCAGAGATTTCAAACCCATTAGCCAGATTAATCATACGCTACCACCCCCTTAGCTGATGCAAACAGCCCCTCATTTCTCTGCCATTTTGCAAAATCCCAGTGGGGCTGCTGTTCCTTTATAATTCCATTAAGCAGAACATTTCTGGGGTTGCATTCAACAAAGTCAAAGCTCCGCCTGCAGGCAGCTGGAAAAACAACAGGATGAAGGCCCTTGAGTGAGCCATCATTCCGTTCCCAAATCAATAGCACCACCTCCGCTTGTGCTCCTCAGAAACTGGCATTTGGAGGAATTCTAACCCTCTATCATTCTCTTGTCTCATGCTTACTTCAGGCCACAGGCTAGCATGGAAAATCCTAAAACAGTGTTTCTCAACCTTCCTAATGCCGCGACCCCTTAATACAGTTCCTCATGTTGTGGTGACCCACAACCATAACATTATTTTGGTTGCTACTTAATTGTAATTTTGCTACTGTTATTAATCATAATGTAAATATCATATATGCAGGATGTATTGTCATTCACTGGACCAAATTAGATACAAATGCCCAATGCACCCAAATTTGAATACTGGTAGGGTTGGTATTACAAGAGACTGTGCTAGTTGCCATCACAGATCAGCTTCGCTGCCAGATGGATCAAGGCGGATCAGCGCTGCTCATGTTATTGGACCTCACAGCAGCATTTGACACAGTCGATCACAATCTACTACTCCACCGCCTAGCCATGACTGGGGTTAGGGGGATACCCCTTAAGTGGGTGTCCTGCTTCCTCCAGAATCAGGGACAGCGTGTGGTGAGGGGAGGGATGGTTTCCGAGAGGTCTTCGCTAGTATGCGGGGTCCCGCAAGGAACCATTCTCTCTCCTCTGTTATTTAACATCTATATGCGACCACTTGCCCAAATGATGCGAAGCTTTGGGCTTGAGTGCCACCAGTACGCTGATGACACTCAGCTCATTCTGAGGATGGAGGGCCAGCCGGACTCCGTACCTGAAAATTTCCATCAGTGCCTTGAGGCCGTTACTTGATGGTTGCGTGCCAGCAGGTTGAGGATGAATCCAGCGAAGACGGAGATCCTTTGGCTGGGCCGTCCAGGTGGGAGGGAGATCCAGCTGCCTACTCTGGATGGCGAGAAACTACATCCGTCACCTTCTGTAAAGAGTCTTGGTGTCTTATTGGACCCGCTGCTCACAATGGAGGCCCAGGTCTCTGCTGTGAGCAGATCTGCGTATTTCCATCTTCGTCAGGCTAGGCGACTGGCTCCCTTCCTATCTAGGAACGACCTGGCTACGGTGATCCAGGCGACGGTCATCTCGAGGCTTGACTACTGTAACGCCCTCTACACTGGCCTTCCTTTATCAGTGATCCGGAAACTGAAGCTGGTGCAAAATGCGGTGGCTCGTCTTCTCACCGGAGTGCCAGCGAGGTGTCGTATTATCCCAATTCTCCAACAGCTTGCACTGGCTACCGATTGAGTACGAGATCACTTTCAAGTTGCTGGTACTAACCTTTAAGGCCTTATATGGTCTGGGGCCGGAGTACCTGAGGGCCCTCTACCAATCCCAGAGATTACTCCGGTCTGAAGACCAAAATTTGCTCGCAGTCCCTAACATCCGGACTTATCACGTCATCTACTAGGCATAGAGCCTTCTCAATCGTAGCCCCTTATTTATGGAATGCCTTGCCAGTGGAAACTCGAACCATTCGAGACTTATCTGCTTTTCGGAAAGCCTGTAAAACTTTTCTTTTCAGGCAAGCTCTTGATGGGTGAACAACCCGGGCTATGTCTGTCCCTGCTACCTATTGTTATTGTTATGTTTGTTTTAAAGCGAATTGTATTGTTTTAATCTATTTCTGTAAACCGCTCCGAGCCAAATTTAGCGTAGCGGTATACAGGTTAAATAAATAATTAAATATTATTATAATAATGTTATATATTATGTATTCGCATATTAATAAGTAATACACACACACACACACACATATATAATTTTATATTACTATATTTATTATTATCAAGCCCCCCAACCCCATTTTAAATCTCCTGAAGGAGATTCAAAATGGCTTAACATAAAAGCATCAGATTATTATTATTGTTGTTATTATTATAATACTTTATTATTATATGATATATGATATATCATATTATATATATATATATATATATATATATATATATATATATATATCCTAAAGGGGACTCAAGGTGCCTATGTATCCATTATTGGTATTACAATGTATTATTATTTTAATAATATTATATATTATTATTATTATTATACTAGTAATTATTGTTATAATATTTATTTATACGTTTTCTCTCTCCCCGTATTATTATACTTTATTTATACCCCGCTTTCTCTCCCCCATATTATTATTATAATACTTTATTTATACCCCGCTTTCTCTCTCCCCATATTATTATTATTTTATTTATACCCCGCTGTCTCTCCCCCCATATTATTATTATTATATTTTATAATAATAATATGGGGTTGGGGGCTTGATTTTGTCATTTGGGAGTTGCAGTTGCTGGGATTTATAGTTCACCTACAATCAAAGAGCATTCTGAACTCCACCATCGATGAAATTGATGGCACACAGAACTCCCATGACCAACAAAAATTACTGGAAGCCTTTGGTGAGTATTTACCTTGAGTTTGGGAGTTGTAGTTCACCTACATCCAAAGAACACTGTGGACTCAAACAACGATAGATCTGGACCCACCAATTGGGCCAAAAATCCCACACAGAACCCCCATGACCAACAGAAAATACTGGAGGGATTTCGGAGGAATTGATAGTGATTTACGGAGAGCACTGTGAACCTAAACAACGATGGATGCTGCTGGGCCACTCTCAGTCTCACGTTGCGCAGACACTTTTTCCTCTGTCTTGAAGGGACTAACTGGCGCGAGCCTCCCTCCAGCCTTGCATGCTCTCCCTCGCCCACCCATGCGCATCATACCGCCATACGCCAAGCACGCCTGCTCTCTCCCCCCACGTGGAGTCTCAGAAATAGCCCTCCCCTTGGCTGAGAGGCCAGCTGAGAGGTCGGCTAATCACAGCAGGAGGAGGGCATTTGGTGGGAGAAACAGAAGGACAGGTGGAGAGATCTTCAGCCTTCTCTGCCAAAGTGGTTACTAATACCATCAGAAATATGTGCTTTCTGATGGCCTTTGGCGACCCCTCTGAAACCCCCTCGCCCCCCCCCCCCCGGGGTCCCGACCCCTAGGTTGAGAGACACTGTCTTAAAACTTCTTTTCAAGCCATTCTTAAATTTTCCAGAAATGCACTGAGCAACTGACAAAAATGTGCTAGTTTTCTCCAAAGCCAACAAAAGAAGCCAAGTGTCTTGCAGCAAAGAGTAAAAATATCTCAGTTTTACTGTTACTACATGAGGATAAATAAATCAATGATCTACCTCCCAAGCACCAAAACAAATGAACAAGGAGGGGGTTATTAGAGGCACAGTCACTCCGTCCTAGTTCTTACTTTGGCTCTGGGCTCCCGCAATTCTTTTCGGCACTTTCTCCTCTTCAGAGTCAAAGAACAGCTTGTGGTCTCCAACTCCGCGGCCAATTTGCTGTCTTCCTGCTGCATTATTTGGGGGGCAGCGCCGGATTTGTTCTCGGCTGGTGGGGCTCTGCTGGCTTTCTGTTTCACTCTCCGAGGTCCAGCCACTTGAAGGAGGGTACTGAGCAGGGTGGCCAAGATGACCAGAAGCGGTCTTTTTGGCCATCTGCTTCACTTCCACTGGGAGGGAGTAAGAGAAAAAGAACAAAATGGCTTTGTTTTTGTACTTTAGGTTTTCACCGGTGAGAAAAGGAACAGTTGTTTGCGCAGAAGCGGATTTTAGCCAGGTCCCATGCAATAGATACACAGGCAATAGGAAAAAGGAACAGAAAAACTACTCGTATCAGCAAAGGCATAAACTTACAGGGTTGCATACAAAATCAAACAGTGCAACAAACTTACATAGTCCTTGTAAGTAACACAGAAAAAGGCTTCTTCATCTTCATTCAAATGAGAGAGCAAAACTTAAACCTTGAGTAAATACCTATTCCACCATAGCCAGAGCGTTGCTAATTCAGCATCTCCAAACTGTATTCTAAAATCCATACAGTTATACCCCACCAGGTCTTTACTGTTCTAATGTAGCACAAATCCTATGTAAAATCATACTACATATTTTTGACATTAATATTGAAATCTGAAATATATACAGAAAGTCTTGAGTAAGTACCTATTTCACCATAGCAAAGAGCATCGCTGCCAGAGCGTTGCTAATTCAGCATCTCCAAACTGTATTCTAAAATCCATACAGTTATACCCCACCAGGTCTTTAATGTTCTAATGTAGCACAAATCCTATGTAAAATCATACTACATATTTTTGACATTAATATTGAAATCTGAAATATATACAGAAAGTCTTGAGTAAACACCTATTCCACCAAAGCAAAGAGCATCGCTGCCAGAGCGTTGCTAATTCAGCATTTACAAACTGTATTCTAAAATCCATACAGTTATACCCCACCAGGTCTATACTGTTGTAATGTAGCACAAATCCTATGTAAAATCATACTATGTATTTTTGACATTAATATTGAAATCTGAAATATATACACAAAGTCTTGAGTAAATACCTATTCCACCATAGCAAAGAGCATCGCTGCCAGAGCGTTGCTAATTCAGCATCTCCAAACTGTATTCTAAAATCCATACAGTTATACCCCACCGGGTGTGGCCCAAACATGCTGGCTGACCTACATTACCAGCTGCACATAATAATTAACATCATAAGGTTTTTGTTTAACACACACACCTGATCCTGCTATGACTTACTGTAATAACAGTGACTGCTTGGTGACTGAACATGTGCTTGACATGAACAGTGTGGTCTCTTTCACATTGTGCCTAAATGGTTCAGGACCCACCAATCTCTGTGACAGCATCTACCTCTATGAACCGGCACGGAAACTAAGATCCACCGGGGAGGCCCTCCTCTCACTCCTACCACTGTCTCAAGCCCGGTTGGTGGGGACGAAGGAGAGGGCCTTCTTGGTGGTGGCCTCTGGAATGCCCTCCTCAAGGAGATAAGGCTGACCTTATCCGTTACCTCCTTCCATAAGAACCTGAATACTTGGTGGTTTCATCAGGCCTTCGTTAATGACTAGTCTCAAGCCCTTGGTCCAACAGTTAGGACTTGTACCCCATCCATTCCCCAGTTCCCTGTCATCTGAGGGCACCTTTTCTTCCGGCCCAGACCTTTTTTATAGTTCTTTAATTGGCCCTGGAATTGAGTGGCCCTGGATCCCTAATAGGGCCATTGCTGAGACCGATCCTTGCACTGTAGCATTCTGTTAGCCCCATTTTCCCCTTCTCCTTGCACTAGCCTTGACCCAGCCCGTTTCAAATAGTCCAGGCCCCTTATTGAAATCTTGGCTCCTGGCAGCTTACCTTGCATGAAGAAGAGAGCGGAGCTGATTTAAAATTGATTTTAATGTATATGTTGTGTTAACAGTTTATGCCTATGTTTTTGTTGTATATTGTATGTTTTTGTATTATTTTGCATATGAGGAAACCATTCTAAGTCCCCTAGGGGAGATAGGGTGGTATATAAATAAAGTTTTATTATTATGATTATGATTATTATAGACCCAAACGGCAAGATCTCTTTCACACTGCACAATTATAGCTTCTTGATCTGACTTTCATCATGAAATTGGAAGTTAAGTGTGGTACCAGAAAAAAAAAAAAGCCTATCTTACAAAATGACATGTCCTAGCATCCCATGGAGCTGTGACATGGCTGTTACAATGGAATCAAATTGCTAGAACTGTGTGGCAATAAAAGGAGCTATGCAAGAGTGAAATCCATGGCATTGTACATTAGAATAACCCATTCTGCAGCCAAAAAGGCTCCTGTGGCTGTTTGCATCAGAACACGGATTGGGAAAGCGTGGTACTAATGAGAGGAATTGAATTAAGGACTTTCAGAACACAAGCAAAGCATATCAACTGTTCAGTCAGGTCAAAAGGCAGATAACATTATTCTCCTAGCTGACAGACATTTAAGAATAGTTCTTTTTCTTCTGCATTATTGTGGTTTAGACTCTGGATTCCTATTCTTCTACCTTTCTCTTGTCTAATTCTTCTTTCAAGGATGGAAGGTCCTAAAAACTCTTTAGAGGCATTGCTTCTTTGCCTGATGCTGCCATCCAGTGGCCAATGTGATAAATAACACAAAACCTGTCATAACAACTAATGTGACATTCATTTTGTGCAGTAAGTGCATAAAGCAGAGCATAGAATTTAATTTTTGGATTACAATTCCCAGAATTCTACAACCAGGATTTCCATATGTGAAGCGATATGATGTGCAGATTTGATAAATGCAGATTTGATGTGTGGGGATGAATGAATTGCATGAAAAGAGCCTCTTAAAGAAGAAGTTAAAGGTCTGTGAGACCCAGAAATCTTGCTTGCTTGTAGGTGTCCAAATACTTATTTTCCACCATAAATGAGAGGTTGCTTACCTGTAACCGTAGTTTCCCTAGTGTTGTGCTGTGAATTCGCACTAATGGTACTTCTGCACATGCGCAGCCTCGCTCCGGAATCTTCAGTTAATTTTTTAAAAAGAAAAGCGGTTGGCCCCGCGCACACTCCCCAGGATAGCATAAATAGCCCGCGGCTGGCCAACCGCCTCCAGATCTCTTCCGCCGCTAAAGCAGCCAGAAGGAGGAGGCATGACAACTGCGGGGAGGATGGGCGGGGCCGTGCGAATTCACAGCACAACACTAGGGAAACTACGGTTACAGGTAAGCAACCTCTCATTTTCCCTACGTGTCTGTGCTGTGAATGCGCACTAATGGTAAAAGACTAGCGAGCTACCCACCTTGGACGGCGGGAGTCATGCCACCGCAGAAAAAAGGACTGCACGACCAAACTCCGCGTCCTTCTTGGCCTGGAGATCCAGCTTATAGTGTGACACGAACGTCAACGGCGTTGACCAGGTAGCGGCTCGACAAATGGCATCCAAGGGCACACCCTTCCAAAACGCTGTCGTAGTAGACACCGCTCTCGTTGAATGGCCTCTCACACCTGTAGGGAGCTCACGTCCAGATCTTTGATATGCCAACTTGATCACGGAGACTATCCATGATGACAGGCGTTGCGATGATACAGGGAGGCCGCAAGAGTCCTTCCTATACTTAACAAATAGTTTTGGTGTTTTCCTGACGTCTTTCGTTCTACTAAGGTAGAACGCCACCGCCCTGCGGACATCTAACAAATGAAGACTACGCTCCAAAGGGGAGACAGGGTTCTGGAAAAAGGATGGCAAAATAATCTCTTGTGACATATGAAAGATGTCACCTTGGGAAGAAAGGAAATGTCCGTGCRGAGCACAAYTTTATCCTTGTGGAATCGGAGGTATGGTTCATCTGATCTAAGTGCGCAAAGTTCACTAACGCGACGGGCTGACGTTATCGCYACTAGGAAAGAAGTTTTCCAAGAAAGATGTGACATATTGCATGTTGCCATAGGCTCATATGGCGCACTTTGAAGAGATGAAAGAACAACCTCCAGGCTCCACGAGGGGATAATCGGGACTACTGTTGGCCTAATGTTCCCGCACCCTTTAAGAAAAAGYTTAACTAAATAATCTGCAAAGAGGGAGGRCATACCCTCTTTCCTCCTGTACCAAGAGATGGCCGCCAGGTAACACTTAAGGGATGAGACTGATAAACCTGAATCTGATAAYGAAGCTAAGAAATCCAACACTGCAGCGATTGGCGCTCTTACGGGATCATGGCCCTGTTCCTTCATAAACTTGGAGTAACGTGCCCACTTATATACATAGGAGCGCTTAGTCGATGGCTTTTGCGCTGCATCTAGTATAACTCTAACCTTACTAGAAACATTCAAAGACGGTTCTAACTGTCTGGGGTGATCCTCCAAGCAGTGAGCCTCAACATGTGGACGTCYGGGTAAAGAACCCGTCCGCCCTGTGATGTCAGTAGGTCTGTCCTGTTCGGCAGACGTCTGTACTTCCCTCTGGACATCTCGAGAAGAAGTGAGAACCATGGTTGGCGAGGCCACCATGGTGACACTAGAATGCAGTTTCCCCCGTCCCTCCGCAGTTTCGMAATGACCTTTGTCAATAGTGGAAAAGGAGGAAACGCGTAGAGGTATTCTCCGTTCCATTTGAGAAGGAACGCATCCCCCAGGCAYCCCTGTTCCTGAGCTGCTCTCCTTCGTGCACAGTATAGGGGACACTTCGCGTTCTCCCGAGACGCGAACAAATCTATTCTCGGGACTCCCCAGATCCTGAAGATCGTACTGAGTTCCTTTTGATCGATAGACCATTCGTGGTGTGACATGGGGGCCCTGCTTAACTCGTCTGCCAGAGTGTTCTCCTCCCCTGGGAGGTGAACGGCCAACAGATAAATCTGTCTTGCTATACACCATTCCCAGATGTTCATAGTCAACCTCGACAGAGTCTGAGACCTTGTCCCTCCTTGTTTGTTTATGTAAAACATTGTTGTTGTATTGTCCGTAACCACCTGCACTACCTTGCCTAACAAAGCCATCTCGAAAGATTTTAACGCCTTTTCTACTGCAAGCAATTCTAGTATGTTTATATGGGCTGTTGACTCCTCTGGAGCCCACACACCCTGGGCAGTAAGGCCTTCGTAATGGGCGCCCCATCCCTTCAAAGAGGAATCTGTYGTGACAACACTTGCTGGGTCGG